AGCTCTTATTTGCTTTTGTTTCTGTGTTTCTTTGGCTTCCGAATGGCAAAACGCAGGATGTTTGTTGACTGCTGAGGAAGCCACCATGTGCCCCTTCTGTTAATAAGGAGACATATTTTACCCCATGCCAACTTTCACAAACTTAGCCATGTGTTCCCTTCTGGCTTGGCACAGTTGTCCTTCTGTGGGTTTTGTTGGCCCAGACGAGGCCTTCGCAAGCATGCAACACAACCGACCTTCTGTTGGTTGAGAGAAGCCAAAGAGAATCGGGGTTAGAAGCTTCCAGGACGTTCTGGATGTAGAATTCACCTCTGCCATTGATCTAAAGCTAAATTTCCCCTTTTCTGTTATTTTGTCTGTCAACCTTTAAAAACGGGATTTGAATGTATGTTGGTCACAAGGCTAGGATGTGGTGGCTCATTGGCTAAGACGCTGAGCTTGTTGATCAGAAGGTCGGCAGTTCAGTGGTTCGAATCTCTAGTGCCGCGTAACGGGGTGAGCTCCCATGACTTGTCCCAGCTTCTGCCAATCTAGCTGTTCGAAAGCACTTAAAAAATGCAAGTAGAAAAAATAGGGACCACCTTTGGTGGGAAGGTAACAGCGTTCCATGCACCTTTGATGTTGAGTCATGCCGGCCACATGATCACGGAGACGTCTTCGGACAGCGCTGGCTCTTCGGTTTTGAAACGGAGATGAGCACTACCCCCTAGAGTCAGGAACGACTAGCACATATGCGCGAGGGGAACCTTTACCTTTACCTTTTTACGTTGGTCACAAGGCAAAGAAAAGTCATTAACGGATAGAGAAAAATCCAAGCATTACTCTTGATCGGAATTCAAACCCTGAGATCCTAATCTGTTCTTTTTAATTTGTCCCTCGTCAATCTTTCCCTTTGGCTGAAATTGACTTATTTGTTCCTAATTTGGCCAGTGGAAAATAAGGATTTATCCGTCAATCTGATGCCAGCCGGGTGGCGGTACAAGCTATGGAATTGGCAGCTGTTTCCTTTCACGTCTAGATGTTTCTCTTGGTGGCCTTTGGGAATGAATTTGCTGGGAGAAACCACATTTAACAAGGTGGTGCGTGTAAACCTGCTGAGAACAAGCTGCCATGGAAAAGCTGGCTTGTTAAAGATACAAGCCAAGGCCAGAATGTTGGACAAGCACACCAGCGATGGTTGTCCAGAACGATCAAACTTAGGTTGTTTTCCCCTTAAAACATTGCAAACGCAGCAATGTTTTTTTACTGACTTACTGGAGAGTAAGCCTCAGTCAATCAACTTCTGAGCGTGGCCTTGAATGAGATCGAAGAAGCTGGGACCAAGGATGTTTTCCTAATGTTATCCATGATTACTTCCAAAATAATAATAATAATAGAGATCATCCATGAAAGAAATGTGTTGATAGGTTGATTGACACCAAAAGGAAAACCCACTAGACTTATCCGACTTTGCAATCTTTAAAGAATCTGGAGAGAGAGAGAGAGAGAGCTTCTCCAAATTTCTCCAGGAATAGTTCAGCAAAGCAAGTCCCACATGCATTACTCAATATTTGGGCAACAATTGCCAAGATACAATACCGCCTACTCGCGTCTCGGCATCAAGTCCCCCGTTTTGCTCATGCAGTTGTTGTTGTTTTCAAGTGTTTGTTTTGCATTGCAGTGGGTACAGTTGTGTCATTTAGAAGGTGAGCCCTCTGTGATGGACATGTGGGTCAGTGGTGGGTTTCAATTTTTTTTACTACCGGTTCTGTGGGCGTGACTTGGTGGGCATGGCATGGCTTGGTGGGTGTGGCAGAGGAAGGATACTGTAAAATCTCCAATTAAATCTGGAATTAAATCTAATCAACTTTAAAAAAAAAAAAAAAACCCACAGAAGTCCAGTCTGGAATTTCCTTAGAAAGACGCCTAGCTGTGCGTTGTTGGAGTTTTTTTTTTCCTTCTTTTTCTTGGCATGAAAACCAAAAGAATACAAAACGAGCATCTCTTTTAAGAGGCTTTCATTTTTATGATGAGAACCGCTTTGGAAAGAATTGAACGCGATGTTGCCAAATCTGGCCCATGACTAATCGATAGCTGAGCCGAGGGATTTAATGCAGCTCATGTCTGTCCTAGAGCATTAAAGAGGATGAGCTCAAAGAGAACGGGAGCAGAGTACACTTCTTGGGACATGATGCCTTACTGTTGAAGTGACTGTCTGTGGTTGTTGGTGTCAGGGCTCCAAGGAACACCCCCAACAAAAGAAAACTCCGAAGCTTGAGTTTCCCCAAAGTTCCATTTTATGAGAGATGTCCTATTGACACATCTGGGAAAACCCGAATCTGAAAGCTTCCAGGTTTTCCCCACCCAAAGGAAAGTCCAAGTTCCTTCTCCCTGCACCCACAAGTCCATCACATGGTCCAATCAATGCACTGTTCCAACTGGAGAGGCTTCCCAGTTCCAGTCCTCCAGGTGCAGGGCAAGATGTCCTTGACTCTCTGAGAAAGGAATGTTATTATGATTACATATCACCTTGGGAGGGAGGGAGGGAAGGAAGGAAGGAAATGAAGGAAGGGAGGGAGGGAGGGAGGGAGGGAGGGAGGGAAGGAAGGAAGGAAGGAAGGAAGGAAGGAAGGAAGGAAGGAAGGA